CAACTGAGTCAGTGACTCTTTGTCTTAATGCATTGTACCTCAGTAAGCGCTGTGTTAATAAGATCACTTAACTTCTATGTTTTATTTATGTTTAGTTGCAATCTGTAAGGCTTTCTAATAGTTTAAGGATTTTGATTTTATTAGATAATTGTGTTATTCATGTACTTGTCTTGCCCTGCCATGACTAGCTTTCCAGCTATTTGCGGGGCAAACTATCCAAACTTTGTATTTTTGTACAAAGAATAAAGTTGCTGTTGTTGTTGTTGTTGTTGTCAAAACACATAGACTGGATTGATGACACACACTTTGTAAGTTCTCAAGCCTTATGCATACTGTCCAATTACGATGTCTCAATAATGCTTAAATCACTGAGTGCTGCTAATAGTCAATGACACTAGGGAATTTGGCTACAGCAAAGTTAAAAAATAAAACACTAGAACTATGAAAGACACAAAACTAACTTACAAATTCAGGATTAAAGTTTGAACCCGCGCCTCCTTTAGGTTCCATTCCTGGCCCAGCGGGACCACGTCTGTAAGCATCACGGTCTGCAGAGTCTCCAGAGGGGGGGCCACGAGGCTGTTCAGGACCTGGAAGAACAGTGTGTGGAAGAAATTTTTAATTGGACAAATTTAAAATTCACCACTTTCCTTTACCCATAATATAACTCATTAGCCACCAAAATTTTGCACAAGTGACTTCAATTCTTCTTGGAATGACCATAATACCCAAGGGAAACTGGAAATAACAGTTATGAATGCAAAATTTGAGATGGGGTGGAGGGGGGGGGGGGGGGGGGGTGAGGCAGGGCCAGGCAAAGTGTATTGTGGGCAATGGAAAAGAAAACAAAAAAATTAAAAGAAATAGATAATGATTTAGAGATAGAAAATCCACAAAGTGGTTCTTCGCCTACCATTCCTGGTCGAATAGAGATTTGGAAATACTAGTTTTTGAGGAGAAGGGAAAACCAGAGTGCCTGGAGAAAAAACTTCTTAAAGCAAGGACAGAACCAATGACAAACTCCACCCGCAAGAGGCATAGACGCCCGGGTTTGAACCCAGGCCACATTGGTGGGAAGAGAGTGGTCTCAATACTGCACCACCCTAGCTCTCTGAAAGCAGTGAATGACAGTGCTCGAACTTAACGGTCGTCCACTCGTCCAAAACGAGTAAAAATTGCCCAAAACGAGTAGGTTTTTTTGCCACTAGTCCTGTGGACGAGTAAAGTTACAGTACCCCGATAAATAATTGCTTTTGTATCTTGCTGAAAGGGGCTAAAAGTGTCAAAGCAGATAAAGAATTTCTGAAAGCGAATGCTTCGAAAACGTCGAGCAAAAAAAATCGCTAGGCGTTTCTGGCCTGGCAGGTAAGAGTCTGGGTTCTACGCTGAGATTAAATGGATTGTGGGATTCAATATGGCGGCTTCCCGCGTTTGCCAAATGATCGATGTTGATTGAATCTCTATTTTCTTTCAAAAACACAACTTCTTGAAATGTCCAAACGAAAAAAGTTCAATGCTCACTGAGTTCTTTCTTCGGAGGAAAGCAAAATCAAGAAAGCAACACAACACCAGCACCGCCTGCTGCAACTCCGATAAAGAAAACACGGAAGTTTCAGGAATCGTGGATAGAAAAGTACAGATGGCTCCACTTTGATGAGAAAGAAAACAAAATGTTTTGCGAGTTTTGCAGGAATTTCCAAATGGGAAAAACACACATTATTCCTTGAGGGTCGGAACAAATAACTTTCAAACTGACAGCTTAAAAGGCTCACGAGGCCAGTGAAGGACACGCTATGAGTTTAGCAGCTAAACGTGCAAGCGGCGTCCAAGAGAGCAAAGACCTTTGCCTGCTGCATTGAGCAGACTTGATGAAGAAACATTGAAGAAAATGGAGTATCTTTTTAATACAGCATATTATATAGCTTATTTGAAACTTCCATTTTCTATATTCTCACAGTTGTGTTCATTGCAAAAAAAGAATGGCTTAAACCTCGGAAACACGTATACATGAATGATCATGCTTGTAAAGAGTTTTGTAAACATATATCTGATACCTTGAGGGCAGATCTCATAGATTCTTTAAGCACTGCTAAGTTTATATCTATAATGGCAGATGGAGCAACAGATGTGTCATGTTTGGAAGAAGAAATAGTGTATGTGAGATTTGTATCAGGTGGGGCTCCAAAAAGCGTGCTATGTTGAGCTGGCTGAGGTTGAAAGTGCAAAGGCACCAGGAATTCTAAAGGCAATCAAGTCGGTTATGGATAAGATCGACCCTCAGTGGATGCAAAAACTGATCAGCACTGGCACAGACGGTTGCATCAGTTATGATGGGCAGGATTGGTGGTGTGGTTTCATTAATTAAACAACAAGCACCTCAAGTTATTCCAATTCATTGTGTAGCACACAATTTAGAACTTGCATTTAGTGACACTTTGAAGTGCAATGAAACAATGATGAGCATCAAGGAACTTTTAAATGGCTGCTGGAAACACTATAAGTATTCCCCAAAGGCTTTAAGAGAACTAAGAGAAATGGCAGAGGCAATGGAAATAAAAGTGGGAAAACCAACAAAGGCCAGTGGAACTCGTTGGGTGCCTCATTTGTCTCCGTGCTTTAACTGTTCTACTTCAAAAAAACTTTCAAGCAATTGTTTCTCACTTTGAGCACACGGCAGAAGCTAGAGATTCTTCAGCAGAAATGCAAGGACGGGGTAGGAACTTGTCAAAGAAGCTCAAGGCTTACAAATTCCAGCTTCACCTTCATTTAATGTGGGACATTCTAGAGGAAGTGTCAAAGATCTCACTTATTTTCAGAAGGATTCTATCTCTATTTCGCAAGTGAAGGCTGAGATTGAGCGAGCTAGTCAAGCCTTAGAGAACATGCGAAGAGGCGACCTGGGAAACATCTTGCTGCCTTTCAAGAAGAAGTAGGAGCTGGAACAGTGTTCAAGGGGGTCAGTCTTACAAGGAACAACACAGATGACAGATTGTTTGAGCAAAGTAAAGCATCAATCATCACTGATGCTAAGCAATTTCTAGCCTCAAGATTTGAAGACTTCACTTCCCAGTACTAAAAGCTTGCGGTGTTATCACTAACAATAAGTCTTGGCCAAAGGAGAGAAATGATCTAGGTTTGTATGGAGAAGAAGAATTGGTTACTGTGGCTCAGCACTTTCAGGCAGTCCTCAGAAGCAATGCTTTCGACTTGGAAGTATCAAAGGATCAGTGGCTATCTCTAAAACTGTACTGTTATGACCACAAACGCATTGCAAACTTAAGTCAGGCTGAGTTCTGGGTAGAAGTGTTCAATCAGGTGCATCCAGATGAACTTGAACTCTCTCACATGTTGATGGTGGTTGAGATTTGTCTGGCAATGGCAGTGTCCTCATCTTGCTGTGAAAGGGGATTCTCTTGTATGGGGCGACTCAAATCAGAGTATCGAAACTCACTTGATGTTGAAACTGTTGACATGCTCATGAACATCTGCCTCAATGGTTCAAGTCCCGAGGACTTTACAGCTGAAAGGGCAATTTTGCATTGGAACCAGGCATCACAAAGAATGCGAAGGCCTTGCTTAAAGGATTGATGACCTAACTTAAGCCTAAGACAGCAATGAAGTTGATAAAACTGCTGCTATTCTATTTATGTTGCAACTATGGCCTGTAACTGGGAAGAATTATAATTGTAATACACTTATCATTGTTGCTATGTATCACTAAAAAGATACATGTAAATTGTTGTGTTTATTTGATCATAGTGTGGCATTTACATGTTTTTACCTACACACACAAATTAAATACGTGCAAAAAAAAATGTAAAGGGTGACCAGTAACTTTGCTCCTGGGACCAGTAAATTCTTAGCCTACTGGTCCAGTGGAAGACCAGAGCTAAAAGTTAAGTTCGAGCACTGAATGATACCACTTTGTACAGTGTAGTACTGTGAAGGAAGTGTTAAAGCTTGTTTCAAATTACAACAGAGTCAGAATAGAAGTGAAAAGAGTTTCCTTCCCACTTATGATCTGGTGAAAACCATATTGTTGGCATTAAAGTAGAAGTGGAAGAGCTGAACATTAGGAAAAAGGAATGCGATTGGTCCACTGTTCTGCTTCTGCCCCCCAACAAAACAGTTTTTACTAGATCACTAGCACAGTAAGAGACTGGATTTTTTTTTTTTTTTGGGGAGAGGGAGGCGGCTGGAATAAAAATGAAATATCCTCATCCAGCATGGTATCATATCTGTTTACAAATGATCATCTTGGTTGTGTCAACAAAGAAACTAATCAGGCGATCCCGAAAATTCAGATGATTATAAAAAGTTTTTAACTCATTAAAACCCAAGAGTGATCAGCATCAAATTTCTCTTTGTAATGTCAATGCTTTGTAAAACAGAGTGGTCATGAGAAATACAGACATGATCTCAGAAGATGAATTTGCTTGATATTTTATCACCCTCTCCCCACTACTTCTGTAGGAAATAAATAGGGGCAACAAATGAGAATTCAAATTTTGATCTTAGGGTTTGAAGGGTTAAAAGAGAGTACCTTTAGGTCGGGGTCTAGAGGTCTCTGTCCTGGCCTGTCGGCGAAGGGTAGCTGGAACAATCTCAGGGGGGAGATGAAGGTAATCTCTGAGATATGTGATACCTTAAAACAAGAGAAAGACCATGAATAACACGCAAAAACAACAACAACAGAACTTAAAACTACTTCATATGGAGGGTAAGTGCATACCATCATTTGTGAGGTACCAGTAGTAATGCTGCCAGGCAAAGTTCTCCGTGACATATCCACGAGACTTTAGTGACTGAGAAAGCAAGAAAGTCAATAGAAACGTAAGCACACACTTATGGTACGACTCAGAAAACTGAATGGAATGTTATTGTGTTTTTGTATTTTGACATCTGTTCTTATATCAATTTTTCAAATGAATACTCATGATACTTATTCAAGAATGTGTAACAGAGAATACTTAACCAAAACTGATATCTGAAAGACTTTCAGATGCAGCACAGAACACAAAATAATAATTTATCTAATACTTGTACAAAAAGCCACGCAAATAGAAATAGCACAAAAATGACAATAAAAAATACTAAGCAAACATTTTAGACAGAAATTGTCTTCTCAGAACACTACAAATTGCATTTCAGAGCATACAACAAAGGGACAGACCTAGTTATCTGACAGACTTTCAAATAACCTATCCTTGTAAAAAGGCAAGACAGTAGTCCAGAATGCAGTTTTATAACATTTTATTTCATAAGTATTCAAGTATGTGTATAAGGTTTAAGCTTGAGCTTACATGTATGTACCTGCATAGACTTTATAACTTGAAGATTTGGAATAGTCTCGAGATCGGGATGTTTTGGGTCGTTGAAGTCCTTCTTCGCCACTGCAACACCCTCTTTAAAGAGGTATTCGTATATTTGAACCCTGTTTTTCTTGGGAATCAACATCCTACAAAGGGCAAACAGTCGCTGTAAACGATTATTGCGACTCGAAACACCTCAAGACATGACTTAAACTCGTGCACAAAAGTGGAAGTAGCAAATTATTCCTAAGAATTTTTACTGCTGCAACTTTACCTAACAGAGTTTAAATAAAAACAAGAAAATAGTCCTCCGTGTGAAGACAAGTGTCCCTACGTAACAAGCTAACTATAGACTTACTATTACGGTAAAAACAAAAATATGGAACATTTTAGATAGACTACAGTTTCAGCATTTATTTTTGACTTAGACATCAAAGGCTGACAACTCGATGGCTGAAATATCCTGTGGATTGCAAAGACAACACTCACTTTTATTCTCCAAGATGGCGATCGAAACGATAGAGAACGAAATGAGCATGCGTTCAGTCGGATGGCCTTGGTGGCCAGGCCTTTTTCGTTTACCGAGAATCACGCAGCCCTATCCACGCGTGAGATGCGCGCGGCTCCTTGCGAGATAAATCTCATTTTAATATGTCAGGGAAATAAGGAAGAAAATATGAATATTGATTATCGGGGCTGAAGCGATACTCACGGTCTTAAAGTAAAATAAGTAAGGAAGAAGATACCACGACCATAGTTTCATCATTTTCATGGCTCACTAAGTGGGGAGGAGCGTTGCATGACGACAATAAAAAACGGCTGTGTAGCAGACTATGGAAAATTGTGATCGATTTGTTTTTTACAACAACATTTATTTTTTTTACGAAAAACCAAAAACAAAAAACCTGCACTGCGTGGCAGGATAGAAAATAGCTCTCGACCAATCAGTGCACGAGGATTCATTCAGTTCTTGTAAAAAAATTAATAGAACTTGTGTGCTAAGTGTAATTTTTACTGCTTAATACCCACAATAAGTGAGGAGGGCACTTTGGGGTGAAGGTTAAGGGGCATAATTGAGTGATTTTCTGGGCTTGAAATTTTCCATTCTAGCAATTGACAAAGAAATGTTTAAAATTCGTGGAGCATACGATAAATTAAAAGTCCTCTACAATTTTTCTTGTTAATGCATTCTTTCTAATGCAGTTATTTACTGCCAATTTGTCTGTCAGGACTCTTGTAACTGGCTGCTACATAAATGGTGTATTTTCTTAGTAGAGCACTGTCATTTAACCGCCGCCTGATTAGCTCAGTTGGGAGAGTGGGAGGTCGCGGGTTCAAACCCTAGCTGGACCAACACTCAGGACCTTTAAATAACTGAGAAGAAAGTCCTGCCTTTGTAATGAAATCTGCAAATGGTTAGACTTTCTAGTCTTCTCGGATAAGGACGAAAAACCGTAGGTCCCGTTTCACAGCACTTTCCTGACTTTCACTGATTTGTTCTTGCGGGACGTAAAAGAACCCACATCACTGTTCGAAAAGAGTAGGGGACGTAGACCCCGGCGGTGTGGCCAACCTTTATGGGTTGTGGGATTGGGTAGGGATGGCACCTCGCATGGGAACTGAGTCCCGTTCGTGCACATTCCCTCTGGGTAGGCTTGTGTACAGAAAAGCTGATAAATAAATAAATAATTTTGTATATCTCTGTTATTTTCACACAAAATAGCAAAATGTTATTATATAGTAATTAGATTGCCAGTATGCTTTGCCAAGGGATTAGTGAGCCGTGTGTCATTCTTTCTTTCACGCGGGATTGACACGCTCGTACGCGACAGTAACTCGCTCCGTGATCGCTACTTTTTGTCTTAAATACTTTATAATATCTATCCATTCAAGTCATTTATCGATTTGCTAATCTACGAGACACACTAGGCAGCGGATTTTCGACTTCTATGTCCTTCAAATAAGTCCACTGGCGATCACAGCGGCATTCAATGCCGCATTTTTCTGATCCACACGAGGGACACGGGAAATGACACCCCGGGCAGTCTGTATCCTGACAATCACAAACATCTCTGCCGTCAGACATTCGAACGCCTGATCGATCATGAAATGTCTGTTTCTGTGGTCGCTTTCGTTGTCGCTGCTGTCTTCTTCTTGTTCGACTTGTGGGGTCGCTCCGGTTCCCCTTGTGCTTATCTTTCATATCCAGCCGTTTTAGTTTCCGCATTTCTCGTCTGCTTGTGTCTGGGTTAAAGTCTTTAAGCATCGGTCCTGGATTTCTAAACTTCAACGAATTAAGCAACTTTTCTGTCCAGGAACTTTCCGAGCTAGTTGAACCAGTTCGAGTAACTTTTGCAGGATCTTGTAGAGAAAATCCTGAAAGAACCGGCGTTTCTTCCTCAAAAGCAGAAACACTTGCTTCTCCGACCAGCGGCAATTTCAAAGTTTTCTTCTCACTTTCTTTAGATAGTTCTCCTGAAGACATTCCAGGATTAATATTTTTTAAAATCTGAGATGCTAACTTTCCTTCTTAAAGCAAGAATTGTACGGAAGATACGTACTTAATGTAGACACATGGATAAATATGGCCGCCATTTTTATGAAACTACCTACCCAGTCCTCCTCTGAATTCTTAAAAAAAATTTACTTTCGAGACTCCCGGTAAAGGGGGTTTCCTTTTCCGGTTCAATTCTTATAACAACAAAAATTTCACTTGACCAGCCCTTCCAACACTTGTTACATTTTAATTATGTCTTAGAACAACCCGCCCTTGTAAGCAGGGAACTTTATTTTATACACAGTTAACAAAGGATCGTGGGCTGGAAACAACAACTTCAGTTCTGCAGAAAGGAGGAGTTTGCAGATATTTTCCAAATTTTCCAATGAATTTTCCTGAAAACTTTCGGAGATAAGTCAAATCTCGTTTTATGCTCCTACCTGAAAAATAGTTGCTCGAACTTTCCAAAACCGGGATTTCTTGTTCCCTACACAACAAAGTACTGGAGAGTGTTGATTGGTCAGAAGACAGTGATTGCTTGTTTAAAGCTCATTTCCGGACGTGTTGCCTAGCTGTGAAAAGCCAATTTGTTAAAAATTTATTTCCAATGGTTCACGACGACAGTTCCACGCAGCAAATAGTGGTAGGAGAATGTCTTTTGTATTTACTCGCAAACGTAGAAATGTTAATGAATCTACGTCAAGATTTGAATTGACGTATTTCGCTTGATTTGATGCAGGTTCGACGTTCGAACTCGACATTTGGCGCGGGTAATAAGTCGATCACCATGAAAGAGGTTCGTTGTTCATTATCGCATAAATATTTCCTTGAAATCTTTATCAACGCTTAATAACTACAGTTTTAAATGATACTTACTGTGGGTTAATTTACGAAACGATGCTTGTTTGTAATTCAGAGAGACGAGGCTCCAAAGGAAATCGACCTGAAAGAGAAGCCTGAAGCACGCGAGGACTTGAAAGAGGGAACAGAAGATCAGGCAGGACTGTTGTCGAAAATTTCAGGTGGCGTGTATAATAAAGCGGCTTCAGTTGTCGGTGGAGTTGGCTGGGTCGCTGGAACAGCATTGTCGACCACATTTACGGCAGTATCGGCCGTAGGGGGAGTTGCATTAACGCCATTTAGGAAATCCCCAAAGGACAAATCTGACTGAAGGCTCTAGTCGACAGTACAGTAACACAAAACGGCGGGCGAATGTCAAGAATCTGGGAGAACTTATTTTCTATCACAGTCTTCAGGGACTGAAGAGGAGATATTTACTTTTATGAGTTCTTGTCGATGAAAGTCTTCTTATTCCACAATGGGACCTGATGGTAAATAATGTAAACTTGACGAAGGCCCTACTCATCAATATTGTATTCTGTAGGAGAACGATCGTATTTATTGCCTTTCTTTCAAATCAAATACCCTTATTTTTCAGGCTTTTCTTTGATGTTACTTTAGAATAGTGTAGTATGAAAATACGTGATAATATTGAGTCGGTACATAACTTATCAGTTATCATTTTTACCTTTTGAAAACTGCTTGTTCAGCTGTTGTACGTTGCTAATTAGCATTGAACATTTTGTAATTGTTATTGCCATGCAATGGTGGTTTTTAGGGTATGGCAGCAATAATTTTATAGGAAAGAACTAAATTCGTATTCTTTGCAAGAATTAATAATTATTGTAAATATAAAATATGTTTTATAGTTCCCTTTCAAAGGAATAACAATAATATATTACATAGCGTGGGTGTCACTTGCAATATAGATTAAAGTTGTTGCAAAACCGATTCTTTTTCCTTTAGATATTGGGGATGTTCATTTCCATTTTCAATGTTTTTACATGTATATCTTCCTTCTGAGGTTTCACCACATGTGTAAAAGGGGGATTTTAACATAGTTATAAGTAATAATGAACTACCTTGAACATTAAGCTTCACTAACAAGTGGACAAGTTCTTTAGTGGGGAAATATAAGGGAAAGAACATACAAGATCCCCCCTTTCTGCCCCACATCATATTTTCGGATATCATTTCTACCTCTCTTCACAGGAATCATGCTTAACTACAAAAAAACAAAAACAACAACAAATTAACACATAACTGTTTATTTGTCGTGATGCCTATACTAGACAACTACATGTATGTACAAGGGAGAGAATAATATTATTGTCGAGGCCAGGTAAAAGAAACCTAATAATTAAAAGAATTTTAAAATCTACACAAGTAGACAATGAAAATCAAGAGCTCGAGCAGGGATGTAGTTAAGAGCCGGCTGCCAGCTAATGTCACCAGCTGAGGTCTCCCTTATGGAGTAGGGCCAATTAGGAGATTTTAGGCGGTGGAGGAGGGAGGGCTGTCTCCCCTTTTAGCTTCTAGTTAGCCTGCCAGCAAGCTCTCCAGGGCACTCTGGTGGTGGGGCGGGAAAAGGAAAGAGAGCTTGAAATTACATCTCTGGAATTTGAATTCCACCTCCAATTCCCCTATGGCTGCTCATCAATAATTAAGATGTCAGATTTCCACCAATCAGTGGAATGTCATCTCTGCCAATCAGCATTTAGCAGACTTTTTTGATGCAGATATTCAAATTCCAGAGACGTAGTTGCAAGCTCTCCTTGCTTTTCCCGCCGTGCCGCTACAGTGCCCTGGACAGCTTACTCGCAGGCTAGTTTCAAGTAAAAAAGCCAGCTACCCAATAAAAAAGCCTGCTTAGGTTTCCTGTAGCTACATTGAATTATAATCATTTATGACCGATGTGGTTCATTTCAAATCCCCTATTAACACAAAAAGCTATCTAAAGAAAGTTATTGTCATTTCAGTGTATAAGTCTCAGAATTTAAAACATTTTGTGGGCAAGACCTTCTTTTTCCTTTCTGATTTAAACTACTCTTATAACCTACAACAAAAATATGACAGGGCCGTCATTAGTAACTGGCTCCTGCACAAAAATTAGCCAGCTACTTTAAGTGTGAATATGAGTGTAACTAGTAATATAGGAGGATTTGTGGCATGAATGACCAGCTAGTTTGCCTGAGAGGCCAACTACTTAAAGCATTAATGACAGCCCTGCATGGAGAGTTAATAACTGAGGGGAGTAGATACTTTGGATCATTATACGTTTCTGGGAAACTGCCCACCCACCCCTTCCCTAAGCCAACATTAAAACTTACTTCTCACTTAAGGCAAATTATTGACTTAGAACTTATAATGATCCGATACTTTTTGGTCATAATTATTCCCACCCACTGGAAATTTCAGTTTTGGTTAGTTATCAACCTTGTAAAAATGTTTGGTGTTAAGACCCTTTCCCCTCAGATTTTCAAATGAGCCTCCACAGGATGAGTGAGGATATTTTCTCCAACCACACTAAGACTCTATGAAAAGAAAAAATTCATTCTTAGAATGGTCATATGCACACTACAGACATAATCATTCTCAGACAGGTCATCTGTTGGATATTCTGTGTCATTGCAGTTGGACAGATAATCCATCTTTGTGTGAAAACTGGATGAGGTTTATTTTGGACAAAAAATAATCCTTTTGAGTATATCAGTCTGTTTATCTGTCCATTTAGAACAATTTTGATGGTTGATCATGAAATACCGGGTATTATGTCAGAGTTTCAAACTTGACATGTACAAATAAAAGAAAATGAACAACTTTCTAAAGTGACATAGATTGGTTTTTTAACTCAACCAATTATAAACAATGATCTGTTCTGTACACCTTCAGATCATCTTGTTTTCTTTCTTTTCTTTTCATTTTTTTGAAAATAGATATTTCTGACAAAAATATAAACAATGTAAAAACAACTAGGTATTTTATAGATGTTGTTAAAATTATCATGGTGAGCTGTGTCCTCTAAAATTAGCTATAGCTTCATGCCCTGGTGTTGTTTTTATAAGTCTAAGCTTCATAGTGTCAACTGCTTTCTCTCCAACTCCATCAGCAGTGATCTCTACATTGTAATTATTTGCCTGTAACGACAAAAAAAAAAGAATGCCATACTAGCAATTAATAAAAGCACATAAAGTTAAAATACAGTCTAATGCCGTAAAAATGAACACCGAGGGGGCCATGGAAAGTGTCTGTTTTAATGCCTTATAATGAGGTCATGCTTTTTACATTGAAAATACACCTTCTAAATGAACAAAATACTAATGAAAATAATAAAACAGGACAATAGCATCGTCAAATTAAACATTTCTAACCTTTACAAAGGCATCATCACAATTGAATCTTTTTTATTTTAAAAAAGAAAAGTTTTATTTCAGCTCACAGTTGATAATAAAGTGTCTGCATTACCAAGGTTGACTTCAGATGAGAATCTGTTAACTGGGCAAGCAACAAGTGTCCACTGTTTGCAATAAGCTGGTTAAAGTTAGAAAAAATGTAAAGGCTTTCCCCAGCGACAAAGAAAAGTGTCCATAATAGTGAGGTGTCTGTATTAAGCAGGTGTACGAAAACCAAGGTTTGACTGTGATCATTGCACTAAACTAAATTTATTAGCTTTGGCAAAGTTGATGAGGATTGCTACCACACCAGCTTGTGCCATTATTACTACAGTAGCCAGACTTACCAGCTGTAAGGTGGCTAGAAATAATCGGCAAATTTCAAATGATTCCTGAAAATTAATAGAGCACGAAACAGTGAATTTAGAGAATAGAAGTTTATTTATTACCTTATTTAAAAATATTATTTTTTAAAATACTTTTGAAAACTAAAAATTGCCCTCCGGTAACGTGTACATTACCTTTCCATCAGCTACATCTTTGAAGTGCTGATTAGATTTTCCTAAAAAAGAACACCAAACAAAAGAACAAAAGAAATTTAACAAAAGGGAAAAAAAGGTCATGTAACACACCACAGTAATGTTTATTACTTTGAACGCTAATTTTATAACAGTACACTCTTAGTAATTTTTTTAGTCCCTTGTCAATCTTTAAGAGGAAAATTTGTAAGAGTTTTCAGTTTAAACTGCAGTGTTGATGACCAATGTAACCCCACTAATTCAGCACATTGCACAAGCTGAGGGTTACCTGACTTACCAGAAACAATAAAAAAATCCTTGACTTTTAATGACATTGACAACGTCCAAGATTTTCCCAAACCTTTTCTAAACATATTCCTGGGTTTTCCTGACCAAAAGATTACTTTTTCTTGAGTTACTTGAGTTTGACAACCCTGTTGGTATTTCTCCGATGACAACTTCTTTTCAAGTTACAGTTTTATTACTTAATATTATGTTCACGATTTTTGTTTAATGCTTATAATTACTATACCTCTAAATGATTCAAGTATTTCTGCACCATATTTATGTATATCAAATGGCCTGTGAGTTTCCTGAAAATGAAAAAGATCATCAGTTCTAAGTACAGGTTAAATAATCCTAATAAAACAAAAAGAAACAACTGCAAACTTTTAAACACTCCTTTTCAATGGCTGCTGAGGCATTCATGCTATAAATAAACCATTAAAAAGTCAATATAATAGGCTCTTTGCATGACTTGATCACATGATCAACTTCCTGTAAACACAAAAACAGTTCGCTTTTAAAAAATTTTGTTAGCACGAGCTGAAAGAGCATAAAATTATTAAAATTAGGAAACGTGAGAATTTTCAGCCGTTTTATCTCAAAAGTAGCTATTGCAACGGCCGCCTGCTGTTAGAAGCATTTGTATGAGAAAAACAACTATTGCCACCCAGTCATGCTTGAATGTTTTTCCATACAAATCCTTGTTAAGTTTAAAATTGTTAAACTGTCGTCTTACGCATTTAATGGCTCGAATTGTCTGTTATGAATTAAAAGGAAATTTGAGCCCTGTAATGCTTAAGGAAATATTTCCTAACGGTTATGAAAATTTCCAAATTACAAGGATTTGTATGGAAAACCATGCAAGCGTGACTGGATGGCAAAAGTTGTTTTTCTCAAACAAATGCTTCCAACTTTCGGCGGCCGTTGCAATCACTACTTTTGAGATATTTGGCTGAAAATTCTCAGGTTACCAATTTTTAAAATGCTCTTTCAGCTTGTGCTAACAAAATTTTTGAAAAGTAAACTGTTTTCGTGTTTACCAAAGTTGATCACATGATCAAGTCATGCAAAGAGCTTATTTTTCCACTCAATCTCTTTGAGCTCAAAAGGGACCCCGTGAAGTGCAAAAATCACTTGACCGACTATTTTTGCACTCAAGATTCAGAATGTCAGAATGTGTGCAACTTTATGTCATCACTAAAATAATGATGTGATACAAAAGATTTGAAGAGACATGGAACGATACCCAAAACACAATAGTTAACCACTATCATAATAAAATTATGATAATATTGTTTTCATGCAATTCCAAGTTCTAAACGCCTATCCTGATGGTTTTATCAGCGGGGCTAGATCTAAAAGCTTGTCACAGAAGCACCAGCTACTAAAGGAAAATAGTTTCTGAAGTGTGATAATAAGTCCAGAATAGCTTTTTTGCCAACACTTTTCTTTATTAAAAACAAACATGACATATTATTTTGTTACAACAAATGTGGGTCCCTGGTCACTAAAATATGCTCAACTGTACTTTTCAGTCCCCCAAAATTATATCCCTTCCATGGAAGCACGTGGGATACCCAAGGGCACATACCCCAAGGGGTAAGATCCAGAACATTCAGAACGGGGTGGTCAGGACACTTGCCAGCAAAGAGATATTAATTTTGTACAATTAATTTTACTGAAAATTCTTTTAAAATAAAACAAAGTTTCACAGAAAAAGGGGTGGCAGTGGTCCACTCGGCCAACCCCTAAATCTGTCCATGTTCTCCTTGCCACACCTACCCTCCACATGACCCTGCACCACATGAAAGGCACTTTGATTGTAGTCTTCTTTTATGGTATTTTTTTTTTCGTCAGTTATTTAAAATTTTTTCAGAGAACCCTGGTATCAGCTATTGTATAAAGCATCTTAACTAACTTGAATATCTCTTGATTCAATTTGCAGCTTATACTGACTTACCTCTTCAGATAAAACAGGAAGAATTCTGTCCTCCCAGTCTCTAACTCTTCTACTCAAATCTGTCTCCTGAGCATATTGCTGTGCCTCCATTAGGTAGCCATCCTGTGTAGGGGAGTTATTGGACAATGCAATGTAATGTAAATTTTGAACATGTTATTTATCAATAGAGCAGTGACCTGCACTTGTGACCTGTGTTTTGTACTTGCCAGCATGTGAGGTGTTGCTGCAGGAATTGCTACACAATTACACAGTCTTGGCAGCGTGCAAAGAAAGTAGTGTCCAATAGCCTGGGGCTAGTGGATTTTGCTATCGGGCTAGTGAATTCTGTTTTTAACTTGCCCAACGGGCAAGTGATGGCTTTTGACAGATTCGAATAACATCAAGAACTGTGAAATCAATTTTGCTGGTCAAAAAGTTTTTGGGGCTAGTTGAAATGACGCCTGAATGGCAAGCTGTAAAAATGATTTTCTTTGCACTCTGCTTGGTCAACTTTCGTTGATTAGGGTTAAGCACTCATTTTACGAGTAGAGTTAAGAACATGAATTTTACTGATTAGGGTTAAGCATTGATTAGGGTTACACTTACAATTAGGGTTACATTTACAATGGTCAGCTTTCAGTTAGCGTTTTCGTATTATTACTTTTTCGATTTTTTGTATTTTTTCACAAGACTTGCATGGCTCACTGGCTCACACTGTGTCCAAACTCCACATTAGTGAAGGGAAAATGGTTAACACCTAATAGGTCATGTAAACCCATGCAATGGTTTTAATTTGAGCTGATACAGTTAGATGAACAGTTCCTGCAGTAAAGATGACTTACCACATACTTTCGTACCAGTTCTTCATAGCTTGAAACAACAATGCCATCTGAAGGTTCCTCTAAAGCTGTGAATTGAAATTGGAGCTTTGAACAATTTTTAAAAACGAAAAAAAAAATGAAGAGACAACTGCATTATATTAATATCCAGCTGCTAAGAATAATTCTTATTATCATTCGAAGGAAATTTTTCTTTCTTTTCATTGGCCGAGAGCCCACCACGTGACCTGCAAATAGCTGCCTACAAATAATGGTCTGCTCATGTGCAATGCTTCCAACAGTGTTTGGCTGCAAATGATATTCTTCTCATGCATAAAGGAAACTGTGCCTTTCTCCTTCTTGCGATCGCTCTTGCATGAAAATGGCAGATCACTTCGCTTCCCAAGGATATTCATTAAAAAAAACAAACTCAGTGATTGAATGATAAAATAATTATTGAACTCAGTTATTGCAAAATATCGTGATTTGTCAGTGTCTCACAGATCAATTATTTGCCTCAACCTTCGGCTTCGGCAAAAAATTGTTAATTATCTTGTCAAGCATACCCATAGGTTCCACTGGGTCTGGAACATCAGCATCTCCAAGGAAATTATCATCCCCAGCTCCACCATCAAAATCATTGTCATCATCGTCATCATCATTATCACCACCTTAGAAGCAATAGACAAACATCATCCAGCATACAAAGAAAGTCATACCATTTGGCTGGTAGCCCAGGGCTCAGACTCTTTTAAGCTCTTTAAATTCCATGGCTTTTTTCATTGTCCTTTTCCAGTTTTCCATGACCTTAAGTTTAGCTGTCATTTACAAAAAAATTATTAAATTCTCTTGTTTTAAGGTATTTTTTGACCTACATGTCAGTTCAACAGACAAAAGGTATGGTTTCCACCAAAATGGGTGTCGTTTGCGCTGTTTAATTGCTTGTCTCTATTAAAGAAGGAGAAGAATTCAAACACCAGAAAGCCCAGAAAAATTTTCCGAGCTTCAGCTGAGAATCTAACTTATGACCTTCCGAGTTATAGTTTGGATGCTCTAACCACTGAGCCACTGGATTTCTAGTGGCAAGCAGGGTAGGAATTTAAATACAAATGTACACCAGACTTATCTTACATTGTTCTTGCTTTGACATCTGTGGGAACTAATCTACCAATAACAACTTAAATTTCCCATGACTTTCCAGGCCAGGTAAAAGAAATTCTAAAATTTCATGACTTGCTATGTTTTCCATGACCACTACGAAGCCTGTAGTTTTTGTGGTTGGTCTACTGGAATCTACCTTCAATTTCCTTAGTTAACCCTTTAAGCCCCAACATCCACATACAAATTCTCCAAACTGATCTATATACATCTCCTTTAAGAATTAGTTGAGAGAATTGGATAAAAGATCATGGCATTTTCTCTTTGATCATTTTATTAATTCTCATTAACTTATCTTTGGACAATGTATAGATACTTGTTAGGAGAAAATTGTTGTTGGTCTATGGTGGTAACAACTTGCAACAAGGGCAATCTGAAAAATTTATCTTCTTTCCATCCTGACCATCGTTATCTTATAAAATCATTAGCAGCAAAAAAAAAAATTTTTTAAGAACTTTACGGATCATTTTAGTTGTAGCCAGTAATATTAACATACCAAAGGCTTGCTCCTCATTTTCAACGTTTTCATTCTCTTCTGACTTAGCTACAATGGATTTCAGTTCTTCAATTTCATCATCAGTGGCAAGCAGGGACTAAAACAGCACAGGGACAAAGGAGAAAAATAATTCAGCCAAAATTCAATAAAATTATCACGGGCGACAAGAGGAGCCCGCAATCCTAATCTCCAGGCTGTCATTAGAATGCATCGCATGTATGTAGGCAGCAGTCATTTGGACTACCACTAAGAATGTATGGAATGAAGATAATGCAATTTGATCACATGCATTTGAACTTTCTCTCACTCACAATCTGATCATGTGTGTTTTGACTATCTGTCACGTCAAACTCAAGCAAAGCATAGTGCTGGAGCAAGAGTGTTTTGACCTTTGATTGTTGTCGCCTGCACTCCATAACCTTTGGTTATTACTAGTTCCTACTCTCTATAGTCGAATGGTTTTACACCCCCCCTTCATTTGTATGAAGAGCCGGTAGAATAGATAGGACTATACATGGGACTACATTAGCCTGAGACGAAAACTGACATTTTGCGATGCCACCAATTATTTCCCTGGAAACTGATGTCTGAGGATTTTCCACAGAAATTCTATACTGATGATGTGTCACTACCTAAATTTGGGTAGAGCTAATTCACTGGACGCAAATTTCTCTTGTGACAGGAACAATGGGAAGCACTACCCAGATCTTGGTAGTAACACATCATCAGTATGCAATCTCAGATGTTATTTTGTGGGGAGACTAGTGGTGGCTTCACAAAAAGTTGGCCATTTCCTCACGCGAGGACTTCATAGTGATTGATAATTCAAGCTGAAGTCATCATACAAGTCAAATTGAAAGCTGCCACCTGACAATGAAAGTGTTTAAACAATCCAAAATGTGAAAGCTTTTATGGAAAAATTCCACAAATGATACAAACATTTTGTCTCAGAACTTTTGGTACAATTTGTTCACACAAACACGCCTACCAAGCTTTATAACTCTGACAATGACCTGGAAATTGAAAACTGTAGCTAACTTACAAGAAGCTGTTTCTGTTTTGCTTGTACTTTTTGCTGCCTTCTAAACTCTATCCAGTACAAGTATTCAAACTCTGAAAGACATCATGTCATTGAGATCAGTAATAAAAGTTAAGGGTTCTCATTAAAAGCCAGCAACGGGCTAAGAAATGGTTGGGGAGAAAACACTTCCCAGAATCTAATGCACTTGCCAATGGGAAAAGAGAGCAAGTTGAGAGTTAAAGTCTAAAATTACCTTCAGCGCTGGATTGCCAGGCTGCCTACTTTTACATCCGACCTGACTCTACATGGACTTAGAAACTCAATAACAACCCTGAACTGACCTGAAAGGCAGCTGTCATAGTTCTAGCAGGTCACACAAAACCCAACATAATGTTAAATGCAAATAATTATTAATATTTTACCACAAACCTGGGAATGCTGGAGTTTTGAGTGGATTTTTTAGCATTTTGGATGCATGTGAATAAACTGCAATAAACAATAAAAAAATGATGGTACATAAAGGCGAAGAAACTCTTGCCTAGATTAAAGAAAGTATTTTATTTCAGTGTCAGTGTCAATGTATTAAGCACGAAAGTACTAATTGGATGCACTATTTTTATGTCTCCAACTGGAGACACGGCCGGCATTTTATGTGGTCATCTGAGCCAGGCGAAGGTCTAGCCACTTGCAGTGCAAAAATGGTACCTTCATTTCTCAGTTATTTTAACACCCTGAGTACTGGTCAGGCCCGGGGAATCAAACCCGCGACCAGCAACTCTGCAGTCAGGTGCTCCTCTGACTGAGCTGGTCCTGCCACGGTTAAGCCATCATGATAACTTCAAATCTTACAACTGTACTACAGTAAAATAAATAAAAAAAAACCAGTCAACATACATGCTTGGGATATAAACTGATTTATTGGAATAAGTGTTGGTTCCTTCCTATCTCCTTGTCGTTTACGTTTCTTCTTGTGTTGTTGTGATACTAAAGAGGAAGGTTTCTTGAAAGGTTTGCCTGCAAATTTCAACGTCCAACATTTCTGATAAGCAACTTACATAATTATTTGCATCTTGTTGCACCTATTATGTTACTAAAATTGACCTCATGTTTGCAGATCCTTTGGAGTCCTGTCACATTTTACTGGTAAAATTAACAAGGATGGGGTACAAGGGTTTGCCATGATGCAGTTTCACCATTTTGTTAACCACTGGCAGTACATGTACAGTTTGCAGAGACCAACTTGTGCGCAGTCTTTGAAAATTTTGGTAAATAATTTGGATTCAGTGTTATTGCAGTTTTTCTAAGCTGTAGTTTACATACGGCTTAGAAAAAGTTATGCCCCTGCCCACGTAAGGATAACAAAATAGACGTACAGAGTATAAAATAATATTATTATGAAAAAGGGTGGGTATGAGTTATGTTGATAGTCAGGCTTTATCAACTAAGGCAGCCAATAACTACAATCTCAGACAAAAATAGCTGGGACACTTCCACCCAACTCACTGTTTTTTTTTTCACTTTGGCTCATCTCCTTGTCCTCCCAATGTTGTTTATCACAGGTAACTCACCAAATCTTGCACACCAACATTGGGAGGGCAAGAAGACAGCAAAGTGTCCCAACAATTTCGACTGAGACTGTAGGTGAAAACACAGCAGGATTAAATAGCTGTTAGTACATTAACAGTGAAAGTGATGTAGCTCTACACAGGACAACGGCCAAGTAAAAGTTTTGCTCACCTTTCTTAAAAGGCTTATTTTTTGATATTCCTGGGTCATGTGGATCCATCATTTTCCAGTGATCTTTAAACTTAGAACAAAAATAGAGAAGAGAGTTACAACAGAGCAAGTGTTCATAGTTAGCAACTGAAATTCTTGTATGGCTTAGTCAAGAGATAATACTGTTTCTACAGTAATCGCATGTGTACTGTGTACTCTCAAGGTACTGTACATGTGGCTCTTCAGAAGTGCAAATGGTGCAAACATTTGAAATTTTCACTGCAGCTGTCTTGTCAAGAGTCAATCAAATGATTTTTAATTTTGCATTGTTCACAGTGGCAAATTCACTTTATCAATTCAATTAAAGAACCAAAATTAATATGTGTAAAATACTTTCATTTTCTATGGAAACTGTAAGTATGTACAATTACATGCATTGCTCGACTGTCTAAAAGTCAATTTAGTAAAAGTATATATTATACTTTATCATAAAATACTGAGAATATAATGTCATGTGAATGGGCTGCTGACAGAGAAAGCGTCATTTAAGAGGTCATACAATAATCTTAAAATATCCATTTTCATGAATCATGTCTCCACAATAGCCTTTAACAAAACCTGGATCAGACCAAATTATCACCCTGTGACCCTATCCCTAATTGATTCCTTCCCTATAGTGAAGGTCAAAACTTGATCTAATCTTGTCTGATTCAGGTTTTGTAGATGCCTCTAGGAATATTGACCCTATCAATGCCCACTGAGGTTCAAACACGTTCTTCCTGTTTTGCATCAAGCATCTTTAAATATGAGTGAGTTCACTATGGCTTATTTGCTTCATGCAAAATGCCAAAAAAATTATTGACAGACTACATTAAGAACAATTATGGGCTAAGGAGTTAAAGGAGTATGAAACATTATTTATGATCTCAAGTTGGAGTTATGAATGAAGTACTTACAGGTAAGTTTTGTACTTGCTTGGGTTGTGGTTCTGCTCTTGCTCTCAATGCTCTCCTTTCTTCTTGAATATCCTTTATTAGTATCAAGGAAAAGACTCAACTTACATGTGCAGTACGTTTTAACACTACTAAATCTAGTAGGACATGGCCAAACCCCAACCTTTTCATGAGACAAACTAAACTGGGCACATTAAGTTCATGAATAGTTTGACATCTGTCTCAGCTAAGTTTGTATGAATGAGTTTGAATCAACCAACATGTTCTACTATCCATCTGCTTCAGATGGATAGAATGTTGATCTTGTCATGAGACATGGGAAATATTCAACAAATAAAAAAAAAACATTATTCCAGACAGAAAATGCTTACAAACTTATACTCTTCTTTGAAACAGAAGCTTGGGGAAACTCCCAACTTTACCTCATTTTCACCACCATTTCCACTGCAATAATTATCAGAAGCTCCATTATCATCATAAAACACATCCTCGTCCATAAGCTGAGGTGCTTCAAAGTCATCATCAACTTCTAATGAGCAATAAGACCAAAATTAATGCCTGCTGATAAAAATTACACATTGACTTGAGTGTTGTAAAGTAAAAAGTACATGACTTGCACAATTTGTCATGAGTTTTATCGTAACATTCAACATAATAATTTATAATGAAAAGGTTAAGAAGAAACTGCTTATCACACTTGTTTTTTTATGTAATTTTGTGTAAAATTTGTTTACTCAAAAAGGACCATATGAAAGGACAAAATTTCCATACAAAAAGTATTGCCAAGGGGTATTCATTTTAATGGATACATTGTATTTGACAAAATAATAAAATTCACATCCCACAGAATCAAAAGTTTAAACCACATGTCTCCATGACCATCCACATGCCCGCAAAATAATTTATTCTTTTCTTAAGAAAGGATGTTAATGTTAAGGCAAGAGACCGTTAATCTTTAGTTGGACAAACAAGAAAAGTAAATAATTTATTATTGTTTGGCATAAATCACTGTGTAATTGCCAACTTTTACATGTAGTTTCTTTAAGTACTATTCAAATCTGTAACTTCAAAAGTCTTTTGTATTATTTTGTTCTGTTGAGTCATCATGTCATAATTGTCGGGATTTCATCTGACATCAGAGAGATTTAGAATCAGATTTACTGCAGATGGCAAACATCAATCAGGGGACCAAGTGTTGTGTACTATAATCATTTTACAGTATTTATACAAAAATATTTTTGTAGTTTTATATATGTCAAGCTTATCCATAAGAATTATTTGGTACCGTTTTTACCTGCTCATCCCCCAACTAAAGAAAAATTCAACTTGAACCTCCCATTTGCCATAAACATTTAACTGTCTATTGATTTCTGCATGGTCTCCCCAATTTTTTTTTTTGCAGCCCTAATTCTTGTAAATTCTTATCACAGGTATTTGCCAGAGCTGCAAATATAACTGTTGGTGATATAAAGTATAATGGAGTGACTAAAAAGAAGGGAAAATTCCAGACCAGGCAGATCCACAGCCTCAAAATTTGCATCATCACTCGGCACAACTTGATTGGCAGCTTGTTTTCCACTTGCAGTCCCAGGTTCTGAAAAGAATACAGATTGAACAAAGTGTAATAATTAAAATATATAATAATATTGGTTGAGTAACACAGGGTTGTAATTAATTTTCAAGTAACCAGGTTTAGGCAATTAGTTGGTGGGGAATCTGGCAATTGTATGTAGTTTATACTTTAAATTACATTTTTCTTCTTCTGAGGTTTTTTGATGATCTTACAACATAAGGATATTTCCTGAGAACACATTTCTGGGAAAACTAACCATGCACATCTGATGGCGTAGAAGTCATCAGTCGCTTGAAGGAACTGTCCAATAAAGCCAAGTGTGTCATATCCAGCAGTAGAGTCCCAGAAGCGTGGACTGTACAGGTGTTCATCTGTTAACAAGAATTGAAACAATTACCAGAAAGTCTTCACTGTGCCCACTGTAAGTTCCATGTTAAAGGTGCAAGAGTAGGGCTTGAAAAAAGTCCCCAGATTTTCCTACACATAAGTAACTCTTCACAATGTACTTGTCCAATAAACAGTGGTCCAGGCAGGCCTGCCCTCTAGGTAAATCATAAACCAAGACAAGGATCATCCTGCCATTTGGGTGAGATGACTACATGTAAGCAATTTCCACGCTTTTTTTAGCTTTAAACTATGGGTTCCACCACCCATTTGCCCACGTGATTGGCTATGCATTTGAGTCTAAGGCCATAGAAGAAGCCTGTGTTGCAGAAATAATTTAACCTTGGTTGGTAATGTCTGCAAAGCAGCACCAATATCCTTGTTCTGGGCCTCCTACAGACTAGAAGTGCGTTCAAATTTCCTTTCAACCTGATTGGCAAATCGACAATGGCTTTTTTAACAAGCCAATCATGGTGTGTACTCAAATTGTCAGGTGCACAGGTGGGGACCCAGAACAAGGATTTCAGCACTGTTTCGCAGATGGACTTAACCAGATTTCAGTTTTGTCTGTAGTGCAGGCTACCATACACGTGGAGTGAGTGCTGATTTTACAGCAATAAACCCCAGAACAAGGATTTCAGCACTGTTTCGCAGATGGACTTAACCAGATTTCAGTTTTGTCTGTAGTGCAGGCTACCATACACGTGGAGTGAGTGCTGATTTTACTGCAATAAACCCCAATGCAAACTTTTACTCTAGCATTATCTTTTTGGTTAGTAGAGTACACAAGAACATTTATTTTAATGCCACAATCACATTCACAACAAGGCTAAATCACAAGCATTTCGTCATTTTTCAAGGGAAAAGGGGAATTAATTGTGTTAACTACATGCTGTACCTTGAAATCATTTCGACTTCCAAGAACCTCACCAGTGCGACTGAAAATGAAACAACAAAGAACTAAGTTAAAAAAAAAACTTTCTTGGCACGTACATGTTGTAGTTAATTTTTTATCTCAGGTAATTTTAATTTTTCTTTTGTTTGAACTTCATTAGCATAGTCATTACCATACCCCAAAACAAAAGAAAAACAAAAATAACTTGAGATAAAAACTAACTACAACATATACCTGTACATGTTATTGGGTTGAGTCAACTGCATATTTTGGATAAGAAAACCAAAACAACAGAAAAAACCAAACTACATGTAAATAGTTTGAAAGACAATAATATTTCTGATTTGAAAAAAAAAAATAACCAAAGATTAAATTAAACAATACAGCAAACTTGTTTATGACAAAGTGTGGAGTAAGTAACCAAACCAATATATTCAAAAAATATTCTGTCTGATAATTTACTATTACAAAGTTGTAAATGTATGTTTACTGAAATGATAGAAAGTCACCAAGGTGACTTAAAACAAACCTTAAAAGTACATCTTGTTTGTCCTTTTCTCCTAAGGGAAGCAAAGCAAGTGGAGTTCTAGGGACAATTTGTGAACCCTGTCAAAAAATGAGAAGAAACAATATTATTCAAGATCTTTAATGAGAAAGATGGTACGAGTAATTTTCAACAAAGACTGAGAAAAGGTAGTTTCCTAGTGTCTGGATGGGTGTGATCACCAAATGACATAATACAAAAGGTTGAAAAGACACTTGAATACTGGGTGCATCAGTTGAGACGACTGATGCAGTTCTAAAACTCAAAACAAGGCGTCATGTTGGGATGCAGGACTAGTACGGCAGTACAGTAATTTTTTAAACACAAGAGATTTCGTAATATTTATCATGTGTTTTGTACCTAGGATATAGTAATTTTACCATAGACAGGAATACCACGACTTTACACGTAGGTTAACAGTCGGATAAAATTCTAGTTTAGCCACATTTTCACTTGGCATCACAGTAGCAACACAGTTATTTACCACGTATTGTATTTTGTTTTGATTAATAGAGGCTGTCATGTACCCTAAACAATACCTGGGTTTCTGAGTTTTGTTGATTTAGATGTATATGTTAAAGGTCAAAATTAAATTCAGGTTACTTTAGATTTTTTTAACCTAAGTTGATTCTCAATTTCCTTATCTCCTAACCCTAATTCATGAATAATTAGGGCTGGGAGATGAGGCAATTTAGAATCAACCCAGGTTAAAAAATTTGTACATGAATTTACTTTAAACCAGTACCATTATACACCACAACACAAAAGTAAACCAACAATAGTTTCTATAAAACCATGAAACACCCAAAGAAATGGTCTCAGATTAAAAGTTTAACCTACCTCATTCTTAGAACCATCTTCATCCTCCTTCAAGTCAATATTTTTTGCCTCTTTAATGTCATCTAAACTCAAGAACTGAAAGAAATAGAATAATATTACAACACACTGGCTTCATAAGTTACTGGGTAAAAACATGAGGAAAATATTCCACCACTTTGACATTGTTGAACCAGGGTGCAAAGAATGTCAGTCAGGCAAGTTGTAGCTAACATGTACTACAGCTGTACCCCAAAAGTCATTTCAACTACACATGTAGGCCTCCCAAAACTATTGACCAGCAGGATGCACCTGAAAACTTCAATGGCCCATTGCAAAAGTTATGAACAGAATTTACATGTACTATAGCCCAACAGCAAAATCCACTAACCCTGGGCTATTGTACACTACTTTCTTTGCACACTGTTGAACATCTGCTGAATGGTACACATCTTGAAGGGACACTTAGTTATGGTCCCCACTAAATACAAACACCACATTTAAAATCTCCCTTAAATACATACCTATTAAAGCGGAAACCTTTTTGGTTCCAAGGGTGACAAAGGATACCTCCCCTAAGCATACATTTCCTCAAGTCTTAGGGGTGTCTGCATATGGAAGGTTTGACTGCACTGCCTGAGTGCAACTAGTGGAAATGACATTATTCTAAGCACTATATATTATTCTAAAACAGGCAGGCTTCATGTATGTGTACCATACATATACATTAATGTAATTTTTGTTGGTCAGTTGAATTTACAGTGTATAAGCCCCACTGGTAATTTTGAGGTGATTCAACTGCAACATGTTAGGGGCCAGCTTTTTATCAAAATCAAAGCAAACCAAGTAATTGAATGGAGTTGCAATGAAAAGCGGTCAACACCTCTACACTGTCATCTCTGAATGAGGCATCTTTGTCTTTGCCCTGATCATCCACTGACGATGCTTGCTGAAGTCGCCTGGCAAAGCACAATACCATAACAGGCAATCAGTAAAACAGGTTGACCTGTTTTAGGAGACTAAAAAGCAATTAAAATCTAAGCTTCAAACTTCAAATTTCTCATGGGAGCCTGAGAAAATGAATTTCAATTCACAAAATGGACTAAAATGAAATCTGCAAATGAATTTTTACCTGCTTTTTCACAATTCCTGTGAATTATCTTGGCTGGCTCCCATTAGAAATTGTCTTTGGTGTTATTACAGATAACTACATGTAATTATACAGGGTTGTCAAAAATAGCCAGCTGCCGGCAAAAATCGCCGCCTACTTGGTTAGAATCGGCCGGCTACTCTGCTTCGCATTTCTTTATGGATGGTGTTTTTTAAAAAAATATCCCTGGACTGGCTGCTTACTTTGACAACTCAGCCATCTACTTCAAAACTTTCTGACAACCCTGATTATATCTATAGCCCTTGAAAAATGTAAAAAAGAATGCAATATGGTGTAAATTATTCTGGTGCAAGGTTTTTGTCCACTGAAAATTAAAATTACTCAATTTCCTGATGGATTCCATCTTAATGTTATTTATCATGACAAAGATAAAGTAGAGACATGTAAGGTCTAACAGATTCCCAGCAGTGGAAGTGTTTAACTCACTTTTTACTTGCAATGAGATCCAACGTCTGATAAACCAATGTGTATAAATACTCCACCTAGAAAGGGAACTAGACTTGAAAAAGATGTCTGAACCACAACTACCATCCCTAATTTGACATGAATATAATATTATACAGTCTGTACCTTGCTCACTTGGCTTGCTTAAGATTATTAATTGGACCATGTATCTTTTGGGGGACTGTTGATTGATGTATTGGCCAACATCTCGGTTGAATGTCAATCAATATATTGGCCGATTTACTCAGTCGACTCTTGACTGACATTTTGGTCGACAGTCGGTCGACTCTCGACCGATATGCTGGTGATACTCGGTTGCTGCAGTCTATCGGTGGATAGTCGGCTGATACTTTGACAATGGATCGTCGACATATCACCGACACTTGGCCGACATAACAGCCGATACCTTGGTCGCAACTGTCAGTTGAGAGTTGGCCGCATCTCATCCGATATGTGGCCGGTACTTGACTGCTACAGTCTATCAGTCGATAGTCGGCCAGTACTTTGCCAACAAATTGCTGGCGATCAACCCATTATCAGCTGAAACCAATATGCGTAATAAGCATTAGTGTCTATTGGGTGTCAGCTGAAGTCAGGAATCTTGTAACAAAGGGCAAAGCATACGGTGAAAGCAATAGCAATTGTCGACAGATACACCACCGATACCTTACTTATCGACGACCGACAGTTCACCGATACACTTGCGACACACTACCAATGCTATCGCGGCTGACTGTCGACCGATTTGATGGCCGATACTCGACCGAAAGTAAATATCACTTGGCCGATATATCGACCGATTGTAGGCGATGCAAATTGTCGACTGATACACCACTGATACCTCACCGATACTCGACCGACGATTCACCGATACATTGCCGAGAAACTACTGATGCTATCTTGACCGACTGTCGGTCGATCTGTTGACCGACAAGAAAACACCACTTGACCAAAATGTCAGTCGATACTCAGCAAATACTCGACTGGCATCTTGGTCGAGAGTCGACCAAGTGTTGGCCAACATAGCAGCCAATATATCAATCAACAGTCCCCCAAAAGATACATGATCCTACATGTAGTAATTTATACAAGGTTCCAAGAAAGATACATTGTCATGTCACCCAACAGCAAAATATTTCAGTACTGAGCTCACACATCCACAAGTGAACCATGTTCATAATACACGTATTTATGAAAGTTGGACAAAAACCTGTATAATTCTGACAATAATAATCAGAATGATGAATTCAAAAATGCATGTATGTTAATTGTTTCATAATTTTCTGACTAAGATGTTAGGATACAGATTCCGATCTGTATTATACCTTCTTGCTGTAGATACAAGCAGAACCTTGGATAAGGAGAGCTGCTTCTGCAAAATTCATGCTAGTCTTGCCTCCATCAAAGGATATTTTGATCCTTTCAATCTGAAACAACATCAGACACATCACATTTGAATATTTAATTGGAGGCAGTGGGATCTTGTCATTACAACAAGGTCCCTCTCAATCTATTCCAAATGCAACATCAACATGAATAATAGCTTATATGATCACAGCTGCAGATGAAATCCTTGAATTTGTTACTGTGGTTTCTGGTTGTTTCGATACAAATTTGTTTCAATACAATTTTATTCAATCAGTTGTAATTAATAGTTTCACGCACTTAATTTAAAGAACAAAGAATATTCAGTTCAACAAAAATGATTTCATGTTCATGAGCAAACTATACTTGAAGTGATCAAAATTTTTGTGCAATTTCACCGCTTGATTTTGTATTGAAATGAATAGCATTGAAACGACAATGAATCAAAACAACTAGTTTCCATTATTGAACAGTGTTACTTTTTGTGATGGTTTACAAGGTGATCCTAAGTATTGAGTCTGTGGATGAAATCCTTAAAGGTGATAATACAGGAGATGATTCGCAACGATGATTTTTAGCACAAAACAGCGTTACAACATTGTTGTGACATTATTTCAAATGGTCAAAACATTGTTCTAGCACTGCAATGTTGTGTTGCACTAAAAACAGTTGTTGTGTTGAAGTGATCAAAATTTTTGTGCAATTTCACCGTCTAACATCACCTTAAGTCTGACAATTCAAATGAAAGGAACAGAACAGTACTTTTCTGCAGTACTGTTTACTATGCTGAACAAGGTAGTTTTAACTTTTAAGTCTATTGATGAAATCTGCTACGTTTTGTCATTCAAATGAAGGCTGCTACTGAGCAGTACAAATTTCCAGTGGGACTGCTTATTTTGCTGTATGTAGAAGGTGGCTACTTACAACTTACGAGTTTGTCAACGTGGATGAATCCTAAATTATAAACATTCGAATGAGTTGTCTACAAAACAATTCCTTGCTTACTATATTATAAATTTACAAGATCAGATTTATATGCTTCTGATTCGATCTACAACTACTATAAAAAACTTGTGAATTGAACAGTGAATGACCTCGACTCAAATTGATCTACATAATAGAAAAACCCTTCGGTCAGATTTATAGCAAATTATTATTTGGCTACTTGCTAAGCAATGGACATCGGAGATACATGGGTTTTCAAATTTTGACTTTAAATCGGTTTTCTTTAAGCTTTAATACACCAATTAATCCTAACCTCGGCCAAGTACTCTTCCAACTGCGCGGCGACATCGATATCCCAGTTCTTGGTCAGATCGCGGATCGGCTGCAACAAATGACTATATTTCGAAGCAAGATCGTTTGAATCACTGCTACTTGCTTGAGAAGGCATGATTCCAAGGATAATTTAGCCAAAACTCAACCAAAACATGACTCCGAAATTGACAAGAGGATAACAGAAAAATTTCCCGCCATTTTGTCGGGCTAGCAGAAGTGAGCATGAGTAAAAAGTGTCTAACCGCTGACCAAGGCTCGGCATCCGGTTTTTTCGGCTCAAGTTTCTAGTTTTCTCGGCAGGTAAAACCGGATGCTCTCGCAGGCTAACTTCCCCTACGCTGTCCCTCACACTCTTTCATTTTCGCCGTAGGACATGCTGTGTTTCGAGGTAAGTAAAAGTCCAACACTTTTTTGTTTCGATAACCATTCTATTATCTTTAAGAGTAAGATTATAATTTTCCAGTAATCGGCTCCTGAATTTTCCCTGTTCATGCCAAACTGAGCAACACAATTTCTGAATCTGTTGTCCGCACGCAAGCCAAGTTTCGTTCGAGGGGCGGAAGGTGGGTTTTGGAAGTCTTAAAACAGTCGGATTTCGGCATAAAACCTTAAAAACAAGCGCAAAATGTTTTATTTAACTGATACGGTATCTAGTCGTGAGGGTCTATGAGCGTCTGGTAAGTAATTTAAATCAACAGCAACCACGTAGCTAGAAACAGATGGATGGGAATCATTGAAATTTAAAATGGACCTTTTTGAGGGGTTCGTCCATTTTGAACGAGCTTGACGACTTTAAAAGATCGGTAAATCCCACACCATCCTAGCTTTTTAGATATGACTCCCAGTTTATGTATTTTGAAAGCAAACGCCCTTCCGATTGCTGCCGAAACTACGAATATTCTATGTAACCGAGCGTAGACTACGTGTAGTCCCCCATTTTTCCTCAGGGATAGTAGAGCGAGCGAAACGCGAGCGCGCGTGAAAATTATCCCACGCGAGAAAAGGTGACACGCGGCGGGGAGAGAGAAAAATTTTTCTCTCTCTCGCTCTACTATCCCTGAGGAAAAATGGGGGACTACTCGTAGTCTAAACCGAGCGGTGCGAGCGGTCTAACGCCGCCGACTGCCGGAGGCCAAAGAGCAGGGGCACAACGACATGAATCCTTTGGATGCAAAGAGTGGGCTTAAATGAATGTTTATTACAAAAGAAAACGGAAACCTAATTACAAATAAAACTAACGACAAAACGAAGTAAAAGCAAATCAAAAATGAATTAAGACTAATACTCCCGGGTAATACTGCGCGAGAATGAAACAACGAAATAAGAAAATGTTACACAAAAATTACCAGAGGTCGAGACCTTCTCGGGAGTTAAGCTCCACAGCTAAAAAGCAAAATTAACTTGCCGAGCCAACTCAACTAGAGGAAACTAGACAAAAGTACTGTACTCGTATTTATACGCAAGTAAACAGATACGTATGTGACAAGAAACGAGTCAAAAGCATAAAACAGATACATCACATCCTGATTAGGAGGGATTAAAATTTAACGGCCAAGTCACGCCTAACTTGCAAATAATAGGTTTTGAAAAGAGAAACGATAAAACACGATAGTAAGAACTACGTACAGGAAAACAAGCCAATGAAAATACCAATCCTACGTGTAGCTAAACTATAACTACTGTTCGACCGTGTGGTCTAATACCTCATCTAAGAAAATTCAAAAGCTGCAACTTATTCAGAATTTCGCGTGCAAAATTATCTGCGGCGCTCGGAAATATGACCACGTGACGCCATTACTTGACGAACTCAACTGGCTTCCAGTTAGCAAGATGCTCAAATTCAGAGACGCCGTTATGGCTTATAAGTGTGCCAGCAATTTAGCTCCTGAATACCTAGCTATGTACTAAGTTTAAAAAACGATCTTCTGTACATAATCGCACAACCCGTAATAATGAGAAGTTCGAAATCCCATTATTCAGGTCAGCCACCGGCCAACGAACCTTCGACTATAGAGCAGTATTCCTGTGGAACACGTTAGACGAAGACCTTAGAAACGCTACAACTGTAAAGGCCTTTAAGAAAGCCCTGAAACTTGTAATGAATGAATGATTGTATGACAGTTAGCATTTAACAATATTGGCTTGTTAGATATAGTTTGCATTTATATTTGTAAATAGGTACCGAAAAACCTTTTCTTTGGGAGTATTTATTAAAGTTTTATCTTTTTTTTAAGATAAGTAAAGTAAAACTACAAAAAATATGAGATTAAACCTAGTAACTGAACAGGGAATTTGACTAAATGGTGATATTTCCAGCGGATCTTTCTCAGCTTTCTAGTTAAGCGTAAACCGATCTACTCACGTCTACAGGATTGCAAAATAAGCCGAAGAAATACAGAAGCTTCAACTGTGTAACTAAAATCATAATAAAACGATGTTTAAATCTCTTAAGAAACTATAAAAGCGACTCTATCACATCTACAATCGGCGACAAAATTGTTGAGACATTGTACTCAAATAGGGTAACTTCGGAGAACAAAAGAATCCGCACCCCTCCCCTGTCCCTTCCATTCAAAGTTGGGGTGTTTGTTGTTTTCTATAGGTAGCTAGAACAAGGGCACAACATTGCACGGAGGGGATGGGGGAGGAATGCTATATTCCTCCTTTTGAAGTTAGTAAAACGTAAAAAAGCCCAGTTTTGGGCGAAGTGTCTCAACTCATTTTGTCGCCGATTGTCTGAATCGAAATCTACGCGCTGTTGTCCTATTAGCAGCGGTTAGGAGACGATAACCTGGATAACTAGTTGAGCTCACTATATTCACCGGGTCGTTATTCAGAAGATAGATACATGTAAGATACCCATATAATCCCTTTCCTGTGTTTCTCGAGGAAAAATTAGTTTTGACAATCTTTGTACTCGGTAATGTTTTCAAGTAATTACGCAGCATACCCGCGTACCGAATGATTGATTTTCCTCTGGCAACTAAGTGTAATCGTTAGGAATCGATGGCAGATAATGTATTTTATTTGAATATATCCCTAGTAAGTTCGAAGTGTTTATTCGAAGTTTGGCTATTTGAGAAGGGTGGGATGGACGATAAAATAGCCATGATTGCTATGCGCAGGAGAATTTTCAGGAAAAATGTTCCAACTTCTAACGCATGCAGTAGATTCGTTGCCCATATACCCATAAGGGTCTTTGAAGAATGTACTTTACAGTAGAAACTATGAGGTCAGGAGGAGACTGGCCACGAGTAACCACGAGTAACCAACTTTGTTCTTAAAAGATAATCAGATTATTTTATTTTATACTAATCGTGGTTACTCGTGGAAATTCCTCCTAAAGAGCAATTTTAGCCATTATAACTACTTTAATGCCTAGAAATCTATTAACTTTTCTATCCTTTTTACTTTGTTCTTTGTTTCGATGCGTTTCGATAAAGGAGAGAATAAGAAATCGTGCGCGACGCGCTACATCGCACGATGTCAAGGCACGGTTGAGCGTGACACGAAATGTCACGCACTGAAAATAACGAAATCGCCTTATTCTAATTGTTCTAAAATAGGTATGATGAAGTGAAACATAACAAATAAAAAGCCAACAGGGGTCTTACATCCCAGCATAAAGAAATGAATTCAATTAATTTTCTCAAGGACGTACGGCCAGTTTTGCGATTCAGACAATCGGCGACAAAATCGTTGAGACATTGTACTCAATGATAGGGTAACTTCGGAGAACAAAAGAATCCGCACCCCTCCCCTGTCCCCTCCATTCAAAGTTGGGGTGTTTGTTGTTTTCTATAGGTAGCTAGAACAAGGGCACAACATTGCACGGAGGGGGTGGGGGAGGAATGCTATATTTCCTCCTTTTGAAGTCAGTAAAACGTAAAAAAGCCCAGTTTTGGGCGAAGTGTCTCAACTCATTTTGTCGCCGATTGTAGCTACAAATCGTAGAAAATTGTATCACAGTCTCTATCTTTTGTTTGTATTTATTATCAGTCCGAGCTGTTACATTCAACTTGTTACCTTTACTTTTACGTTCGTTAATAATTGGCTCCTGTTGCTACTTCAAACTAGTAATAGTTGACACTACAGCTGCCCCCGCTCCTTGTGTAGCTCTGGAAATATACCGATTCATAATGAAGATGTTCACACATATTCCATACAATAGGTGAGATAAATACAGGAAATAAAAGCAAGGTTCCATGCACAGTTTCGGTTCGATTTACAAAAAACATTCTCAGTTTCGAGAATAGTTTATTCTAAGAAAAGATTAAATTAGAAGTTTAATTTTTCGCTATTTCTATTTCACTTTTTACAATTTAGTTCATTTCATTTGCCGGAAAGTAAACCTTAGAACTTAAAAGGACGTTTGATCAATTCACGCTCGCACACTCTAGTCTTCTTTTAAACGTTATAGCAGGGAAGGACATCTGTGAGCAGGGAATAAGTCAGCACAGAATTTGATGGTCGGCGAATTTCTGTAATCGTCTATCATCATTCTGCTAGCAATAAGCTAGTCGTTGAATCATTCACTCGTCTTGCTTGTTTTGGGCCGAGTCTCGGCAAGGTTCAGCTGAAGGTTTCCAATCAAAGTTTTGTGAACTCGTGTCTGGCAAACTCACTTAGTGTTACTAATATACACTGTTCAACGCACCTTATAACTTCATCTGCGCTTAACGAGTGTCTTTCGGTCCATAACTTTCATAAAAACGGCTCCACAGAATGTCACTGTTTTGTATGACTGCACAATTAATGTCACAAAATCTACCTATTGTAAGCTGTTCCTTCGGGATTTTTTGTGTTTTACGTCAACGTAACCATTTCGTACTTGCGGGCGCAAACAACAGAAACGTCATCATTACCTACCGATTCCTCGCGGCCCCTGTTCAAGCAAATCGAGATTTTTTCTATATTGCAGACTTTATGACTGTATATTTCAACTGTAAGTACTTTCCTTAATATACGCGCGAGTTACTAGAGTGCCTCCTCGGGATTTCGCCTTCTGGGCGAAATCCCTGCAGGGGCAATTAAGGTTCTGCTTTGTAGCTAGGATTGGAAGAAACTACGACTGTCACTACAAAGTGACTGCTGATGTGCTTGCTTAAGTTTTCAAATTGTGCTTATTGCTATTTTGAGCAGCCACAGGAATAGTGCTATTCTGTCTGTTCTATAACCACATAATTAATCAGCTCATCGCAGGAATTTTGTATAATCTGCGTGTTTGTGCGCGTAATTACTTCAGGATTGTGCATGCCTGAAGCCTTTAGGCGGTCGTCAGTAATGCTTTACCACCCTCCCCCCTCCCCCTCGAATAGCTTGGAACCAGGCTCCGCAGAGGGGAAAAAGGCAAAAGAAGAAGCCCCTCGACCATATATTTGTCCATGTCACCTGAAACGTGGTGTGTTTTTTAATATCGGTACTCTAGGACCACATTCCAGTGTTCAGGTAGTAAAGTGCGGCGGTCAGATTGTGGGGAGTGAGTTAAATTGTACACCGGGAAAACGGGGCAGGGGAGGAGGCGGGAATGAAGGGAGAATGGGGTAAGAGCGAGGGAACGCGTTCCCTTCGAGTTCCCTTCCTTTATTTCCTTTTCTCCCCTCAATTATTTTTCGTGAATTTTTCTCCTGCGCTCTACTATCTAAACGCCTGGAACAGGCAAGGACCAGATTAATTTTCGTGACCTGCGCCACCTCTTCTATTCTTATGGCTGTTGATAATTTGAGTGGTTATGCCTCAGCAGTCGCGCTTTTTTCCCATTTTGAGGTGGGGTAATGAGGATGTAGTGAGGACATAGAAAATACACGCTTGAAGAATGGACATGCGCAAATGCGAAAATGAGCACTCAGAAAATATTAAGGCTTTTTTTACATCACAAAGATATAACTGAGCACTAAAATAAGATTTTAAAAAAAAAACTGTCAACAGTATTCTTGTCATTTTAGTAGCGTCTTTGAGCCGAACTGCTGAAAGAAATTTGGTTGAATGTCGAAGAACAAATCACGCGTCTTTAGAGAAAGGTTTGGAGCAATTTATGGTAGTGTATGAGTTTACATAAACAAGATGGCAGAAAGAAGAGGACGGCAGAACGTTTTGTGACAAACGTAACAGGACTATAACTTGCGTGTTTTGTCGTGATCTTGGCTTTACATGGTGAAGTTTGGCGGAAAGTTTTTTCAGTCATAATTATTGTCACGCTTGTCACGAAAGGTTTGCCGTCTTCTTTCCTCTCCCGTCCTGTTGCGTAAGTTCAGTTTTCAGAGGAAGTAGGCATTTTAAATACTCGTCCCGGAAACTCCGGAAATTCGAATCGGTGGCTAGTTTCGTCTCAAAGCAATTCAAAGCTTTTGAAAATGATTCCTAGCAAAATGGCCGCGCCCCCCTTCCCCCAGTCACAATGGGCTGAAAACATTGCCTGGGGCCAGTGCAAAGCAACTAATAGTTTATAGGGGTGTATGACGTCTCTCCAAAGCTTGTTCGCAATTCCCCTTCTCTGGGTTGCTTGGCTGTAGGCAAAGCCGGGTTATGCCGCATGAATAACTATGAAGACGTTTACAAAAACCTCCGTTTTTGGTCAGTCCAAACCAAAAAGATAGACCAGCCAGTTCAAAAGACCGTTTTGGGAACTTCTTTGTGAACGCCAGATCAAAATGTATAAAAATGATCGCCTCCGTGTATGGAAAGAACTATAGTTTGTCTCACCAATGCAAATTACTCTTATTTCATTGCATCTTTTCTAGTGTCGACGTGATAATGGACAACTTTGAGGAAATTAAAACAGTCCTCTGTGTAGGCGTGTTAACTGCCACGTACCTAATGGAAACAAACCGTGTTAAGGCGGCTATTGACTTACTCAAGGAATGTCTGATTCTCCTCGAAAACAACGCCCTGAAAAACGCTGGAGCATATTACATGTCTATAGTCAGATTTTACTGCGAAGATATATATAGTAAGATGTACAGCGCGTTATGGCCCACTGATGATCTTGAAAGCACGATAGAATGTGGTAGAAAGCTTCAGACCTTACTACGAGAGAGTGGCAAAAAATGCGACGGCGGGTGGGTAACTTTTCAGCTGGGGTGTTTACATGAACGTCAAGACAAATATCAAGACGCGAAAGAGCTTTTTTTAGAAGCACTCGGTATCATGATAGAGACTGGAGATGCAGGAGGAGAACTACGTTGTTCGCTAGCCCTAGGCAAAGTGCTTGCGGCTCTCGGCGAGTTTGCTAAGGCCCGACCATATCTCGAGAAAGCAATTGCAATTGCTAAGAAAATTGGCGACAGGGAAATAGAGGAGGTATGTCACGCGTACCTGGGAGCAGTGTTCAATCGTCTTGGTGAGCATTACAGGGCTGAAGAAAGTTACAGAAGAGCACTTTGCTACGCAAAGGAATTAGGCAACCACAGTAGAGAAGCCACCTACTTAGGAGGCTTAGGAGCTGCGTTTGAGCTTCGCTATCAATTCAATAAGGCGGAAGAACTTTACGAAAAAGAACTTACCAAGAGAAGGGAAATGGGTGACAAAAAGGGGGAGGCCAGCTGCTTAACAAGACTAGGAAGTGTGATTTGGTCAGTCCATGACCTTGTCAAGGCTGAAGAGTACTTCGAAAAAGCACTAGTTATTGCAAAAGAAATTGGCGACAAGAAAGGGGAAGCAATTAATTATGAACATCTAGGAAATGTGTACAAATCTCTCAGGAAATTTTCTAAGGCTAAAGAATTTTACGAACAAGCAGTTGCATTATGGCAAGAATCTGGCAGCAGAACGGGAGAACCAACAAGCTATAGTTGTCTAGGAGGGGTGTTAGTTTCCCTCGCTGATCATGCATCAGCTAAAAAGTGTTATCAAAAAGCAAGGAAAATTAGTTTAGAGACTGGTAACACAAAGGAAGCTTTACTAAATTGCATACAAATAGCAGGAGCTTGTTATTCTCTCGGTGAATTTGCCACGGCTAAAGAATATTTTGAAAAAGCGCTGGCAATCGCAGTAACAACTGGCGAGAGAAAAGTAGAAGCTTTTTGTTATACAACTCTTGGAACAGTGTTTGGTTCTCTCAAAGAGGACCACAAGGCGAGTGAATATTACAAAAAAGCGCTTGCCATCGCAAGAGAAATTGGTGACAGAAGCGAAGAAGCAAACGTGAGTTTTCTCCTAGGATGTTTGTTACCAAAACTCTTTGAATATCGCAAGGCTAAAGAATATACACAGAACGCACTGTTGCATTGGAAAGAAATGGGCGACAGGCTTAAAGAAGCTTATTGTTACGATAGTCTTGTCTCCACTTGTTGCTCCCTAGGTGAATTTTCCGAAGCTGAAGAATATTACGAGAAATCACTTGCATTGAGCTGTAAGGCTGGAGACATTGAAAGTGAGGTAAGAAGCCACCTTCATTGGCTATTAATCAAGCTATCGGAGGGGAACTTACATGAGGCTGAATCGCATATCTCTGCCAGCGTTTCTGGGTATGAGGATATGCTAAACGCGATGGGAGGTAATGAGCAGTTCAAGATGTCGTTTCTGGATAAAAATTTAAGTGATTACCACGTTTTCAGTTTATTTCATATTGTAAAAGGGAGGCATGCTAAAGCTCTTCAAACTGAAGAACTTGCCCGATCCAGAGCATTGGTGGACTTATTATCAACTCGTTACTCTGTGGAAGGTCAAACGTCCACCAGTGCACAGGCGTATGTTGATCTTCATGAAATCGTAAATAATGAACGTAACAGTGTTTTTCTGTATCTTTCGTATCCGTTGAAAAAGTTCCTGTGTACGTGGATTCTTGCAGCAGACAAACCGATACGTCATCGGGTAATTTGCATCAGGAAATATTTAGGTAGTGAGTTTTCGTCAAGAGGTGTCGATGAAGTTCTTAGCAACGAAACCTGGAGAGAAGTCCTAGTTGAAAACCAGTGCGAAGATCGATCTTGGTTTCCTTCGAACGCCTGCAGCTCCACCCAGAAAGAATTTCCCAAACTACAAAAAGGGAAGGATGAACACCAATCACCAGAACATACTCTTGTTGACTGTTACAAAATGATCATCGCCCCTGTAGTTGATTCGCTCGTTGAGTCCGAAATTGTTGTTGTTCCCGATCGCCTTTTTTTTAAAGTTCCATTTGCAGCACTGCAGGAAGAAAATGGAAGGTATTTATCAGAGAGTTTCAGGATCCGCATCGTGCCCTCTATGACTTCTCTGAAGCTCATTCACGACAGCCCAGAAGATTATCACAGTCACACCGGTGCACTGATAGTGGGGGATCCCGAGGTTGGAAGCGTGCTGTTCAAGGAAAGTATTGAGGTTGTATCGAGGCTGCCTTCTGCAAGCGAAGAAGCAGAGATAATTGGAAAACTGCTCGGTATTCAACCTCTGCTAGGAGAGCAAGCAACCAAGCAGGCGGTTCTTGAAAGCATAAATTCAGTGAGTCTTATACATATCGCTGCCCATGGTGATGCTGAAAGAGGGGAAATTGTCCTTGCCCCTCCACCCGCCATCAACAGGACTCCAGAAGAGGAAGACTACTTGTTGACAATGGCTGAAATTTCCCAAGTTCGGCTGAGAGCAAAACTTGTGGTCCTTAGCTGCTGTCATAGTGCAAAAGGACAAATCAGAGCAGAGGGAGTGGTTGGAATTGCTCGAGCGTTTTTAGGATCCGGTGCACGCTCAGTGTTGGTGGCACTGTGGGCCATAGAAGACAAGGCAACAAAACAGTTCATGAGTCGTTTCTACGAGCACCTTGTTAGTGGGGAAAGTGCCAGTGAATCTCTTCACCAGACCATGAAGTGGATGAGAGAAAACGGCTATTCCAAAGTGGGGCAATGGGCACCATTTACGCTCATTGGAGATAACGTGACGTTTGATTTTGGAACGAAAGGTTGGTATCAATCAGTGATTTATTTAACATACTTTCAATTCGACCCTCTTCCTTCAGTAAGGGCCCCTTTTTTAATGAGCAGCCGCAGGCTAGTGGAAGTTTGTTAAAAACGCTCTCGTAAGTTAGTTCCTTTATTTATTGTCGCTTACGCATTCTAACAAGCGCCCTGATCACGTAGGCACCCTTACCTTAAGCCCTTATTCTATTAGTCCTCATAGATTGTATCCTTTTTTTTTCTATCACAAAATTCGTCAGGTGTCATTGATATCAACCGCTTTTCGTCTTTCTTTTTTAAATGAAGATCAAACACGGCCGTTATTTGGAACCGTGATGTCACTGGCACCTCAGATGACGCCACAAGATCACCCTCCATAATAATGTAGTATTGGAACGGTGACGTCACTGACACCTCAAATGACGTCATAAGATCATTTCTTTAAATGATTTATTATAACCCTCAACGTTTCATAATAATGTAGTATCAATGTCGATATAAAACCCAGTGAGGTTGGAGTTAACAGCCTTTCCTTGGCCACAGAAGGTCAAAAACATCCTAGCTTGGATAGGGTTAAAATATTTCTAATTTTCCGTTGAATACAACAGGTTTATAAAAATCTTATTTACTTACATATTCACTCAGGAGTACCCAACGAACTTTTTTCGCAAAATTGATTATACAATGTAGTAAATGCTAGCAGAGTGCTTTTACGTCAACCTGTTCACTCTGATTACCCGTAGAGTATGTAATGGTCATGAATTTTTAGTTTGCAGTGCCGGCCAAGATGAGCAGAGCCAATGAAGCTATAATCTCACAAGCTTTGTACGGACCTGAACTGAGAGGCAACGATTTGCTTTATCAACTGTTTTGTGTTCACCTGATTGAGTTAGCAGGGGCCCAACGACTGTTTTCCGAAAAAATATCTGTTCGAAGAAGCAAGTACCGTAAATCCTCTATTAAGAACTAGAATACAACGCGTAAAAGCTCAAGTACGAGAAGTTTTAGGTCATGCAGCCGCGGATCAGAATCAAATTCCATCTTCCAGTTATTAAACCAACCACCCCGGATCAATCCACACGAAGTTTTACAGTCGTTGGTGATTAATAGAGTCTATAATTTATTAGTGTAGAATAAATAGGGGAGGGAAGGGGGGTTTAATAGAGAGGGGGAGATTATTACCTTCCTTCCCCTGAAAAGGGGAGGGGGGCTTATTTGAGAGGGGGGTTTAATATAAGATTTACGGTATTGCCTAGAATTTTCTATTGCCTGAAGACGGCTAAAAATTTCATGATAACCGTTACTGTCCTGTTCAATTTTCGAAGCTCATCTAATAAATTCCCTATGATTTTCGGAAGTTTAATTTTGCACATTTCACTCCCCAGGTTTGGATATTCTTCGTAGAAAAAAGGAAACCTAAAAAGTTTTGGATTCAAAAATGTGACAGAAGAGTAATCAGAAAAAAATCTCACTTTCGAAATACATTTAATTGCATCTTAAATTGTCAGGAAAATAAAACTGAAACCCTCGTAATTTTGATAACACTCAAGTTCCCCTTGGATGACCAAACAGACTCCAATTTTAGAGCGCTGCTTAGAATGCATTCCTAGAGATCTACAAGTACTCTGAATAGCTTTAAAAGTGATTTCGATGTATTCAGGAGGAAACCGTCGTTGGGTGCCTCTGAGTTAGATGTACTTAGTCTTAGATTATTCAACGTTTCGTTATGATTACATACCAGAGTGTATAATGGGCAGAGAGAGAATTTTAGGGCTTAGGCCAGGACATGTGAATTTCATTAACGTTATTTTTAGAGGTTGTAATGAACGGGAAGTCTAATTCCTGGGACGTCCGCATAATGTCCTATGATTCTCTCGTGACAACACCGAATAACGATTTGCTGACCACTCTGGATACAAGCTTTCGATTATTAGAGACCTTCGAGGACGGCTAGGGGCACGAGATTTGACTGAAAGTTTTTTCGCGTATTCTCAAAATATAGACTCCCCGGAAAGCTTCATTTTACCATTTTTCTCTTAAAAAGTTAGCACTGTTTTAGTGAAGGAGGTTACGCCCTCTCCCGATCGCAAAATGTTAAAACTTTTAACATTTCATAACTTGTTTCCGCCACTTTGACATTCTCGCTAAGACTCGTAGTAGAGTGGCGACGGCTACCACGGTTTCCCACCAAAATGATGCCGGTTCACGCGCAAGCACTATTTAGTGCTGAGAAAATGTCGAACTCGTTGTCGTACTCGTCTTAGAATCTAAAGCTCTCTAATTTCAAACGTTCAATTGATCTAAAACTAACTTACAAATTCACATATCCGAAGGGCTAGGCTGGGCGTTTCCCTCTCTGTCCAATTATTCTTTCTTGTTATATACCACGTCCTAGCTTGATAAGATGCTTTCCTGATTGTTATGATAATGTTAGAATTATGAAAAAATCATTTCAAGGCCATTACTCTGGCCCATCTAAACATGACGGGGCGAGGCATACTTTTGAAAACATTTAGCCCCATATTTTTTGAAACCACTTTGAAGCTTTGGTGAACAGTCAGAGTCTTTTTTCTTTTTTGTCGTTATTTGCATCGAAAACTGAAGTGAGCATGCATACATTATACAAAATGTTAGCCTTGATTTCCTTTAGCAGAAGCTTTTAAAGTTATTGGCATTTTTCCCGATTATTGCTGTTTGATTTCAAAGGTTACAAAAGATCAGTTGGCCAGTAAGATGGGTTTCCTTGATTACATACGGAAATCATAATGAGTTACTGAACTGGTTGAATAATTTGAATGGACACTTCGTTTATGCGGAACTGTTCAATATTTTTTCTTTGTTCACACGGAACTGAATAACCCGGTTGAATCTTGTCAGAGGTTTTACTATTTGCCAAAACGCAAAGCGCAACTTAAATGGCGTCTTCCAGCTGAGTTACCATGCATTTATCAACAGGCCATACAACCACGCCTTTGCCGTTCAAAACATTGGACGGTCGTGGTTCAGTAGATTAACTACCGTACCGGCTAACAATTTGACCTCAATTTTGGCGTTCAAATTTTTGAACGGCCCCTCCTCGTCCGCAGAGGCTTCCGCTGGATATTTCAATAAAAATAGCGATAATGGAAAAGTAGAAAGCGCGCGGTGGATGATGGGCCCCGCGCTCTATTTTTCTCTTTCTTCCCAGCCTCCCTACGACACAAAAGAGGCCTCTGACGAGAAGAGAGGAACGGCTAGGCGTCAAAATCTTCGTACGGTTGAGGCGGTTCCGTGTGAACGGGGCAACTAAACGTACGAGTTTTCCAGCCTCGTACCAAGGCAGGAGCCGATTCGCGCTATCCGAGTTACAATGGGAGGCTTGGAACCAAACGCGATCGGCGAATTTTCCCGACAAGCTTGACAGGTGACGTCACATCCGAAATCGCCGAGGACGACTGGGAACGAGGCTGCGAGTTTTCAATAGGTCGAAGATTCGTCCGGTTTCCTGCGTGTAAACGTAGCCTAAATTGCGTAGTTGTTTAAATGAATAAAAATTCATCACTATTGAAATAACTAGTTTCATCTCAGTACTTGTACCCCCACCCCCCGGCTAGTTGATGAACCTGGCATGTGGCGGGAAAAACCGAGACTAGTTTCCGCGATTTACAGTGGGGAGAGAGAAAAGGAGGTTTGTTCTCTTTGACTGGTGTAGATCAGTCGCAAGATAAAAGTTTCAAATATACTGAGCCGTACATCATTATAATTCGGTTCGCTACTACTGAAACTTGGTCAACACGCATCCCCATTATACGTTATTCGTCCAAAAGGAACCGTCATCCAACTTTTGATGAACGGGCGGGATTTATGAGCATCTTTAACAAGAATTCCGCTTGAACGACAGGCCACGAGCAGGCTCTCGAGCTTAGCCCGCGTAGCAGGCGGCTTCTTGGTTTGTGGTTCGAAAAATAAGAGAAAATTACGGCCTCGCGAGCCTAAACTGTTTTAACCGAGGCCAAACAAGAAAACGGGAACCTCCCGTCCTCCGTCGTTTTCTCGTTTGACCTCGGTTCAGCTTTCGCGCAGCCATATCTCTTACTCAGTACTAACCTCAAACGAAAGCCACACCAAAAATAACAGCCTGCTACGCAGGCCATCTCGAATTAGGGTTTCTCGCTACAAAGAGGCTACTTGTAAGAAGGCCTGCAAGGTCCTGCAAAGTTAATCGTGGGCGTGGGGATTGGGAATTAGGCGGGACCTTACGATCCAACAAAGAGGGCGCCGATAAAAATGTCGCTGAAAAATAGACTTCGTGTTCTTTCAAATTTTTTCCGTTATCCCAAGCCACTCGGTGACTTTAACGGGAAATCAGGTTAACACTGAAGAGAGAGTTAGGGTTCGAGTTCAGCCAAAGAGACAGTAAAATTTAACGCCTCGCCGTTCCCGTTCGCGAGTCAACTTAAAATTTGCTCATTTCAGGGTGTAGTTTTGCAGGGACGGCAAAGAAATTTGCCAAAAACTGTGATGCACGTGCAGAGCTGTTGTTTTGCTAGGTAAACCTATTTTGTTTTAGACCTTCCCTTTGCGGATCGACTTCGTAGTTTCGTTGAAGGTCCCTAGTATCTGAGACGTCAGTTCGCAAAGAGCCGCCGGAAGAAAGTATCATTGTTGTACTCAGGGGCGAATCCAGAAAATTCAGAAAGGGCTAAGGGGACTCTTGCCAGCTATATCGGTACTATTTATTTTACTGATAATTCTCAGAAAAAGAGGTGCTCTGGGCCCCTTCGGACCAACCCTAAATCCACCCGTAGTAATCGCGTAGCGTTCCATTCCTAGAGATTAAGGGTAAGTTTACAAGGCACAGAAGGATTTTTCGACAGGTTGAAAATTGGTGCGTTTACACGTAATTGTTCCGTTCACACGAAACAACAAGAACAGCGTCAACAATTAATTGTACCCAAAGCAAGATGTCAAAATTATTTCACAACGTATTGTTGGTTTCCACATTGCGTCACTAAAATTCAAACTAAAAAACTATCGATCCTACCGAGATTTTACTTTCACGATGTATTAGAGAAGCTGAAAACTAGTTTTCATATAAATTTTCGCTTGAAAAGGGTTCTTGGTTTTGTGATAGAGTACGCTTGAATTTCTAAGCTTTTGCGTGACGCGGCATTTACATGACGGCCAAGAGAGCTGTCATGTAGGTTAAAAAAAATTACTTATTTCAGGAAATGTTGCTATCTAAACAGTTCGTGTATTAGAAAAAGTATCACTTTAATGTTTATGAGTTCCTCTAGGAGTAAATTCACGCTTTTGTAGCAAAACTCGGTAACAGATGTTTCTGTTGGTTTCCGTCCGCCATGTTGGAGCTCATCCAGGTGAGCACCAGCATGGCGACTCCATACAAATCTCTGTAAGTTTGGGTAAAACATTTCTTTGGATATCTCGTATACGAAATATTCCTCTGACCTGAATCTTGGCGAGGGTCTTCGTATATGTACCCCCTTTCATTTTCCAGATTCTGGACTTAATCTATTGAACGGTTTTGATCTATTTTGAATGGCGTGACACTGAAAACCAGCAATTAGATTAATTAATTAAATGAAAGGGTAATGACTTCCAGAAATAACCGAAAAGTTAAAAAGGCCAGGAAGCCGGATTCAGTTACATAACTGAAATAAGTTTATAGCGGAGGTACAACATGGCAACTTATAAGGATGTATTCAGTATACATGCAAACACCAACACACACTCATTCACACACACTAGCAGGTATTTTTAGGAAAAAACGAAGAAAGAAGGTTCTGATTGGTTGAATCAAAATTCCCACGCGGCACGACCAATCAAAAGCACTAAACAGAGCTGGGTAGTGAGGCGTCATCAGTATGGAATTTCTGCGCTCGTTTCTCAGACGTCATTTGGCGGGAAAACCAGTGGTAGCGTCGCCAAATGTTGGCTGTTTTCTCAGGCTAACCATCAATTGAGTTCCAGATGGTACGTGGTACCATGGTACGTGGCAGCTCAGCCAGGAAACACCAACTGGTTCGTCAGTTTAATTCCGTGTGAACAGAGCAAAAATATTGAATGGCTCCGTGTGAACGAAGTGTCTGGGCAATTTTTCAGTCAAAAATTTGTCCGTTGCCATGTGACCGCAGCCTTAGAATCATGTTTATGCCAAACGACAATCGTCAGTTTGTACCACGTGACCAAGCTTTTCCTTTATTAGCGTCCATTTACTGTTCTTGTATTTTCATTAAAGTAAGGTTTTACTGTCATGTCCGTCCGTAAAAATTATTTTGTTTAGTTTCTAACTGTTCATTTCCTAATCTGAGATTTTGGCCACTTGAATTTGACATTTGCAGTCCACGTTGAGTGTGATTCAAAATCTCTCCGTTGCGTGTACATTCTCTTGTAATTCATAACCTCAAAACTTTTAACTGTATCTAGGTCTATATGCTTTATCTCTCCCTGAAATAAAGTAAACACTCAGGCAGGACCAACACTCTTTTGGCATTCGGTCAACCCATATCGGTATAGACAGAGCGGGAAATTTTAAATGAATTTTTCGGCCAAGGCCCTGTTGAAATGAGGGGAGACGTTTTTTGATACTCTTTTGCGCTTTATTGAGATACCAACAATATAAACATGCGATAGCAGCAGACCCATAAATAACGTTTAAAGCACTATAACTTGCAAGCTGCATACGTTGACCTTAAAGGAAGCAACAACAACAAACACTGATTAAACACAAGAAACAATCGAATTTACAGAGGTTTGACTCCGATTTGTTTTAGTAACTTTTTCCACAGACGTTTAACCTAGTCTTCAGCAAAAAATCGTGTACGATCAATAGCTGAATGCTGAACCTTGAATAAAAAAAGATCGCAGTCGGTTAAAATTGATACACATTTTTTTAAGTAGAAACACCATACTACGTCCCTTCCGTCCATTGTAGTACTGCAGATATATATTTCTGTAATTTCGTGATCTTCCTAATAAACCTTATGAAGACTGGTATTGGCCAGTCGAAATATCGAAACTACAGTCATTTCACGTCGTTTGATCTGTCCTAGCAGTTGTCTTTTTGACAATAATTTATACTTTAGTTTCTAGTCGTCAAGTCTTCACCTAACCTGCGTAAAACGCGTTTCCGAGCGAATTTGTTGAGAAATAAAGTTGGCATGAAAGCGAATCAGGTAAGAAGGGAGAGGGGAGAAATGTTTTTTTTTTTTCTTTCTTCCTCCACCCCCTTCTTCCCTTTTTTCGCTCTCATCCCAATTTTTTCAACAAACTCGCGCCAAAAGGCCTGCTAGCCTTCATCAATTTGACTCTTGGTTCATTTTCAGTGGGGTAAGCTTGGGCCACTCCCAGAAAAAAAATGGTACCTTTAGCAATCTCCATTCCTGAGCCTCAGCTCCTGGCTTTCTTAGTTGTGGTGAAATCGCTTGTAGTTTCTTATTTTTCGTAAGGACCAACAGTCTTAGAGTATAGAGCACGTTCTCAGTGGCTATTACATTTTAAAATCTTGGCAGCAGCCCTTTGAAAATCAGCTCGACAGAGGGAATAAATAAATGGATTCACAGATGACTGTGCTATTAAGAAAAACATTGAAAGTTTCTGGACTAGCGTGTTTACCGCAGTAAGATTACCTTTTGTGCGGTACTGAAAGTTAAAAATTACCCGTGGAATCCAGCATACTACAAACACCATGACGACTAAAACGCAAGCAAAAGTTCCTTTTCGGTTTCGTATCTCCTCAACTTGACTTTCATCCGGGTTATTGGCCTCGGTCTCATTTAGGGCATGTGCAATTTCAAGAGCAATATCCTGCATACGTTGCACTTGTTTTCTGATGGCCAGCGTGATTTTGATATTGATTATAGTAATAATTATGCAAGGGATAACGACAAACAAGGTGATAAGCCATACGTTGTAGACGCTGTCGATCTGATCCAATTCAGCTCCTTGCTTCGTGTGCATCCAGAGGTGGCGGATTCCAGCAACTGTCAAGGACACCCCCCATGAGAGACAACAAAGTAAGACAACTCTCCGAGAAGTCATGATTGTCTGGTACCGAAGAGGCCAGTAAACTGCTAAGTAGCGATCGCATGAAATAACAAGTAAATTAAGGCTACTGGAGCTGAGAGCAATGTCTTTTGGACCCTCCATGAGCCGGCAGTATTTGCTCAGCGGGTAATCTAGACACCCAAGGCAAAACAAAGAGTAAGTGGGACTGA